ACCAGCTGCTTACCGTAAACAATTGAATGAGGATATTCCTGCACATTGTGTTAGAAAGCAATGGAATGTTATATAAAACAAAGAATCCAACCATGTTAAATATTTTAAGCAATTTCCTCCAGAAAATCTGCACCTCCATGCACACTAAATGGCTATTGTTGCCTATGTAGTATTATGTAATATGACTATATATATTTGGTGACCAAGCCAATGAGTCTGAAAACAAAAGAATACGAATATTTTATGAATTAAAGAAAATAAGAAGGTCATATATATGTTTATATACTTTGAAAAGATGTTACTCTACACATGCTTCCAGCCAAAAATAGATAAAAGAACACAGAAATGAAAATCATACCTTGATTAATAAATATAATATCTGCAAGACAATGTTAAGCCAACGTAGCAATTTTGTAAAAAAAATAAGCAAACGATATTTTAAAACAAATAATGATCACAGAATCGATAAGAAGTCAGTATTCACACAATCAAAAAGTATCAATAGATGTGAATCTGGTAAATTGTAGATGTGAATCTGTATAACAATAGAGCAAAAAACAAATTAAAAAACGTCCAAAACTGTATAAATCACACAATGGAAAAGTATTATTAGATATGAATCTGCAAGAACATAACACGATCGATACGAGAACATTATACTAACAATCGAAAATCAAAAGAAATACAAAAGAAGAGAAACGTACGATGATAAAAATAAACTAAAAAGGAAATGACTTCTATGTGAATCTGCAAGAACATAAATAAAAACGATCCATAAGAGATTGTATAATGTTCTCTTATTTTAATGATTTATTGCTTCCACCAATTAATACCGACAAAACTTCTCGCTCTCTTTCAGCTGGTGAAACCAAACACTTCACGCCTTTGACAGAATTTAGTAGTTTCATGGCACTAAACAATTAATATCTTAATGATTGAATATCAACCTGCCAAACGAAGAGATAAGATTATAAAAAGTGGCCGATCTAGTTTTGGAGCAAGACAGTACCCATAATCCAGTTTCATGTGATGCGTTGAAGTAGAAGACAGTTAATGGAATAAATTATTACCATGAACCTGCTGCAAGATGGAAGAAATATATTAAGATCGACCAAAAATTAATCAGAAAAAAAGCAAGATCATAAAGCAAGAAC